CGTCGATTACGATGAGAAACAGTAGCGGTGATAGTATACATCGTTGTCTCACACCAGCGACTACCCGAATAGGGTCGGACAAGGCTCCATTATGCAGAACTCTGCACGTTAACGCCTCATACTGCGCTTCGATGAGGTTGACGATTTTATCCGGGACTCCCTTGCGTCTCAGGGCGCCCCACAGATTCTCGTGACGGTCGAAAGCTTTTTCGTAGTCAATGAATACCAAATAAAGGGACTCTTGGAATTCATTGACCTGCTCCAGGATGATGCGGAGCGTGACAATATGGTCCACACAAGATCTTCCGGCACGGAATCCTGCCTGCCGCCGTCGGAGAGTCGCGTCGATCTTCTCCTGTATCCGATTCAGGATAACTTTGCAGAGAACTTTGAGAACAATACACAGTAACATGATGCCTCGCCAATTGTCGCACACAGTCAGATCCCCCTTCTTTGGGACCTTCACTAAGATGCCCTGCATCCAGTCGGCCGGAAAAGTCACGGTGTCCCAGATATTACAGAATAGTTGATGCAACATTTGTGCGGATAGCATGGGGTCAGCTTTGAGCATCTCCGCTGATATACGATCGACCCCTGGAGCCTTGTTGGATTTCATGCTTCGGATAGCTGCTTCAATCTCCTGCAGTGATGGGGCCTCGGAATTGACGCGAGTGATGCGCCGCACCCTAGGCGGATCATGCCGAGATGTTGATGGCTGGTTGGCCGTCGAAACTTGAAGAAGTTGTTCGAAGTGCTCAAACCAGTGTTTCAGCTGGTCAGTGGGGTCGGTAAGCAATTGTCCAGTCGTGTCCTTCGGGTTCATCCTTGCTCCACTCAGGCGTCGTGAGATATCGTAGAGGAGGCGTATATCGCCAGTGTTTGCGGCTTTCTCCCCTTCGTCGGCCAGGGAGTTCACCCACGCTCGCTTGTCCCGTCTGCAAGAGCGCTTGACTTCCTTCTCTAGAGCCGAGTACCGTTGACGGGCTTCATTCTTGGCTCCTCTGGTTCTCGCCCGTTCTATCGCGACTTTTGCTTCTCTACGCTGCTCAATCTTCCGCCAGGTTTCATCTGTGATCCACTCTTTCCTCTGGCTGCGCAGCTCGCCCAAGTTGTTCTCGCTTGTTTCTATAAAGGCATTCTTGATGGCCGTCCATTGTTCTTCTACGCTGCCACCTTCTGGAACGTCCGCAGCTCGAGTCTCAAGTTCTTCAACAAAAGACCTTTTTACCGCTGGATCTTCAAGTTGGCGTATGTTGAACCGCCGCCCGAGTCTCTCCTCCCGTTGGTGGATCCGCGCCATGCCTAGGCGGATTTCGCCGATTAGAAGGTGATGATCAGACGCGATGTCGGCGCTGCGTTTATTCCGGACATCAAGAAGGCTCCGTCTCCATTTTCGGCTGATGCAGATGTGGTCGATCTGATTTTCGGTATGTCCATTACGGGAAACCCACGTGACTTTGTGCACTGGCCGATGGGGGAAGAGCGAGCCCCCGATCACCATGTCGTTATTGCCACAAAATTCTGCAAACAGCTCACCGTTCTCGCTCATTTCGCCGAGACCATGGCGTCCCACGACACGCTCATAGCATAGAGGTAACTCTAAGACCACTGGGTCCCGAAGAAAATCATTATTAATTTTGGCTCACTCAGTACCAGAACAACGGTCCCAAGCAGTCCCAAGCTATTTCACTCACCCCTGCATGTTCTGCACGAATCCACACACCCCTGATGTTATCTGTCAAACTTTCATAGCGAATCAAAACAAACATAGTGTAGTAATAGAATTTCAACTAGAATAGGGTACGTTAATCGTTTGCTTGGGACCAATAGGCTACTAAAGTGGTGAGCCAATTTAAAATCGTTAGTTTCGTATTGATTGTTGCTCATAGTCCGTGTTGTCGGAGCCGATCTTCGTATGGAAGTCGCCAGTGTATATCTTGATGTCACCCTTTGGAACCTTATCCACGACGGCATTCAGTTGACTGTAAAAATTCTCCTTGTCCTGTAGCTCGGCAGCATCGGTTGGCGCATAACATTGGATTATGGTAAGGTTACGAACCCGTGTTCTAAATCTGGCAACGATTATCCTCTCATTGACAGGCTCCCACTTGATGAGCGCAGCACTTGCCTGGACGCTAAGTAGGAGACCAACTCCACAATGGCGGGGAGCGTTTTCACCTCGAATACCAGAGTATTCACTCTGCTATTGTCGGATTGACAACATTGCCCAGGCTACGCCAACCAGCTGTGTCCATGTTTCAGCTGGCAGTTTTTTGTGATCATATGACTCGTGGAGGTGGAGGTAGGAACTTGTGAGGACCGGAGCTAGGTATATCGCTCCTTCCAGATTGTCACTCACCATTTTGGTGCAATAGGTTCAAGAATATTACTGAAAAAGGGCATGGGTTTTGTAGAACATTGGAAAACATTTTCAAAAAAGGAGGCTGACAAAATCGGGACATTACTGTATTCCATTTACATTTACATGATTTATCACATATTTATGGTCGTAATCTAATACACACATTTGATCACAATACGAGCCTAAAAGCTGCAGTGACCTAGTGAGCACCATAGCTCGAGTCGTCTGTTAGTATTGTGTATCGCATGGAGAGCCCAACCGAGATGCTAGCCTATTAAGACTGCAGTTGATCAACTCTCGAAAAAAAAAAAATAATAGTTGTAGTTTGGGTACCGAGCCACAGAATCAAAACCAGATTGCAATCTAAATCATTCTATGATCGGAAGGCGCCACCGCTTCAGAATGTGGTCAATCTGTGTTTGTGAAGATGACACCGTCAGATACATGACGTGGAACAGTCCTTGATCCTGTCACAGATTGCTCAACAGTGATAATGAAAGATATAACGAGCATTCAATCGATTTACTGATTGGTACAGAATTCAACCGACAAGTAAGAAGCAAGCTACCCAAGAAAAATTAATAATTTTAAATGTATTGAATGATAGAGTGGTAGATAGTCTTATCAAAGGGAGATGTCGTAAGCAAATCAGTCATGATCTGAATAGCGAAGCCAACATGTGCGCTCGAAAGCAAACCAGTTTCCACGAAACATTAGCCTGAAGATTAGGGTCATCAGAAAACTACCACTAGGTTTTCACAATACACCGGCTAGATTGAGGCCACCTAGAACTAATTGATAAGCAATTCAGTGTAGTTTCCATCGAGGCTTAAATGTTCAATCTGTCAACACAAACTGCATCATGCATTCGTTGTTAATGCTTATCACGCGCATATCGTAACACTACACACCATCAAATATACAGACGAAAGCAGAGAGAATTCACCACATGCTATCGATAGACAGTGCACATATCTGTAGTTGAATTGATCTCTCTCTCTCGTATACTCACTTACACATATAAATTAATTCACCAGATTCTTTTCGATTTCGACGTCTTTGCAGCTCTAGTTTAGACAGTTTAGAAGAAGGTTTGTTGATGTGATCGTCGTGGTTTATAGAGCTATCAGTCTCGAACGGGAAGCAACCGACGTTAGACGCGCCAATTGCTAGTGTCAACTCCCACCCACAGTAGTGCGAAACCCATGCGTTATTTGATTGTTCGCTGTTAATTTGAGAGCTTCGCGTTTAAAAATAGATCGTTACAACAGTTTTTGACACCGTGTGAACTAGTTTGGTTCGATAGAGAGGAAACCAGAGCGGGTTAATCCAGTTTTCTCACACTGCGCCTCGTAAAGCTGGGATGTGTTGTATTTGTGTAAGCACTACCCGCATAAACGCGAACCATAAATTGACCTTACCTAAAATGGTTAAAAATTGTTTATAATCCCTGCTAAACTTTAACTGAAATGGTTATGGAACTTTACATGAACGTTTAATGATAAAGTTTCAACCTTATGTATTATGGTTTTTTGGAACTGGACCTTACAAATAATGGGTTGTTAAGAACCATTACCATTCCAAATTCTTGTTTTCTCCATACATTTTCAGAAAGAGAACTATATAAGAACGTTTTTACTTATGATTTGACAACATTAATGGTAATGGTTATGGTAGTCAGTAAGGTCCATTAATGGTTTTGTATTATCGCTCAACTTTACGTGGAATATATCATGAATTGGTAATCAGTAAATTACAGGCAACCAATTCGCGATATATTCCACATAAAGTTGATCGATGTTACAAAACCATTCGTGGACCTTACTGACTACCATAACCATTACCATTAAAGTTCTCAAACCATAAGTTGAAAGGTTCTAATATAGTTCTCTTTCCGAAAATGTATGGAGAAAACAAGAATTTGGAACGGTAATGGTTCTTAACAACCCATTATTTGTAAGGTTCAGTTCCAAAAAACCATAATACATAAGGTTATAACTTTATCATTAAACGTTCATGTAAAGTTCCATAACCATTTCAGTTAAAGTTTAGCAGGGATTATAAACAATTTTTAACCATTTTAGGTAAGGTCAATTTATGGTTCGCGTTTATGCGGGTACATAGTGGCATATTCAACGTGCAATCATTTTCACTTGTTTTCATCAATGAATCACTAATATTGAGCATGGTCGAGAAACCCTCAGAGTCGCTCGAGTGTGTTAGTGTGTGGATTAACATTAAACATATTTGTCAAAGTGACTTAGCCAATTTCTACTATCATTGTTATTGTTAGGACGGTCGTGAGTTTATTTGCATTTCCCCAAAAAGAGAAAAAAATATCTATTTGTACAAAGTAGGAGGTAGTACCTGGCTTGATTTAAAGATAGGCGTAAGGTTTTATTGTCGTGTCGGTTTCTGTTTATTTGCGACAATATTTACTCTGGGGGGTGATAAAGTTTGTAAAGCGGAGAAGTTCAGATTAATATTTTTTTCCGGGTGTGAATGAAACGTATTTCCCGATAAGAATAGATTGTTGTCGTATTGATCGAATTTAATAACGAAACGACAAATGTTGTTTCCTTCATGTAGTTCCAACTTGCAGAGTCTGAATGTCATCTGTTCGGCCTTACCCTCAAAAATATAACAAGAAATATTTCTTATCTCTCCGACTGTTTGTAGAAACTATTGCCATTGAAGGTGCATTACCGCTTATAATGCACACACAAGTTCATCAGCATCCACCGACCGTCGAAGACTGAGGAATGCAAGGGACCGGTTTTGTATTGTCACAGACACACTAGTGTGCTGTGTGGTTAACAGTGTATAATTGAATCCGTTGTCACATCGAGGGAATAATTAACAGAAAACGCTACGCATGGTAAGTAAAGTCAATATTTACGGAATAAAAATAAAATTCATCGGAAAATAGACGAAAAACGTTCAGTTTGGGAATGTTGTCAACAAAGTTAGGCATTGCAACCAAATTCTCATCAAGTGTAAAATAATTACCATTATATGACATAGCGATCAGCGTACCTTTACGAAAAAGGCACGTGTTGGCCGTCACTAGGCGAATTAAACTTGGTTTTACCATATTAAACGGGTGCGACGCTTAGCAAAAAAAACAGTCCAAGACAATCCTCAATTCTCTATCACCTCAAAATTTCAAGAGCACAAATATCAGCTCCCACAAGACATTAAACAATGAAACTGGAACTCCACGTTTGCTGCAATGCACCAAGCAGGGAGTTCTAATTTGATGAGCGATGTCGCAAACATTGTCCGAGATTTGTGTTGTAGAAATCTTAAAGTGATACGGCATATCAGGCCATTTTTGGATTCTCCGAGCAATCGGCTTACTTTCAAACAACTTCTACGAAAACACGAAACAGATCTGAGCTGTGCAGAAGGTGCGTGGAGAAGGGTCACTTTGCAAGAGACTGTACGAAGCAGGACGGGAGTCTTCAAATGCCCAGCATACAAGAAGGCGATGGCGGGCCAACATTAATGGAGGTGGTAACCAAAATAAACCCTAATCATTGACAAATCCAAGTTTCAATCGGCCACCGTGGCGCTGCAATCGCAGCGGTGATAAGTCCGAAATAATGTGTCAAACTGAATACATTTTTGAAATTTCAACCAAAAACTATTATTTTGTATTTATTCTAGCGAGTTTCTGTGGGAATCAAAACATAATCCGAGCAAAAAAGTAGTACTCGTAATAATGGTATATAATTCTGAATTTTATCGTGCTTTGTATTAATCAGCAGATTAACTCGTTTTTCGTCTGGTGCTACACCAATCGGTCTATTTAATAGTTTTTCGTCGATGGATTTAGTCGGCCAACTTTGTCTGCTGTTTAATCGGCAGATGATTTCAAACCTTAACATGTTTTCTGTAATTTAACTGTCTTGAAGTAGCTTTTTATTTAGGAACAATGCATTACAAAATAATTTTATACATTTTGTACAAGGTTCATTCATGCTGACAAGAAATTTGCATGAAATTACATTGAAATTAAACAATTTTGCAAACAATCAATGAAATTGTCAAGGGCTGTCACAGACTTATCACCGTCGGTTAGTGCTTATTCCTGCCACCAGGCGCGCAGGAGTTTAAGTTGGATTTCTCAATTGTGACACTGCACAGCAACTGTTGTGGCAGTAGACAACGGAAACAAAGTGCGACATTGCAGTCAATGTGGAGCAGCATTTGCTGCAATACAATTTTATGGGTATAGATATCCCATTTCTAGAATCGTAGTTTTGTTCCTTAACGCAACATATTAGACCCTTTTTTATTTTTTTTCCTTTTGGTTTGTTTTTTCCGTCGATCTTGTTTTCCAAGGCTACCGACGTGCCAGGAAGGCAGCTCCCACACCTGGACCCTACCTTTCGACCCATCAACTCATGAACCGGGGACCAACGGCTTTACTTCCCATCCGAAGGAAGGCGTGATCAGAGATGTTATGCCTCAGAACATCCCGGCGGCGCCGACTGGGATTGAACCCAGGCCTGCTGGGGTGAGAGGTAATCACGCTTACCACTACACCACCGGCGCCGTTCATTTTTATTTTGTCATTAGGATAACAATTCGACAGTGAGCATTCATAAGGGCGTATACGCGACGATCGATTCTCTTCATCGATTTTCTCTTTCGTTAATAACTCGCTAGATTTAACGTTTGTCGGTGTGTTTGCTGTTGCTTTTGATGGCCAATGCAACCTGTTACAACTCTACATTGAATAAATTCTACAAAATTGTTTCGCTTAGCTGTAGCAATGCAAAGAGAAAATCGATGAAGAGAATCGATCATCGCGTATACGCCCTTATGAATGCTCACTGTCGAATTTCCATGTAAGGGTGGTCCAAAAAATCGATTTTTTGTTTGTTTTCAAACATGGCTTTTTTCAAGGATTCATAACTTTTGAACTATTTAGGTCGATTTCAGAGATCAGAATATTAAATTAAAGATAGAAGATACTTTTCAGGAAAACTATAATAATATTTAAAAAATTAAGATTTTGTATTGAAAAACATTGATTGTCTTTGTTTTTATGGTTTTCGTGGTATGTGGATGGAGGCCGCAATATGTTTTTGTATTTTCCCTTGAAAATTTAGGCTTTTTTACACAAAATCGGCGATGTGTTCTATTTTTTTTGAAGTTGTCAAGTTTGGGGTTTTCGCTCAATACTCCTATGCGTTGGTACAGGTAAATTAAATGAAATAATTAATATTAGTAACCCTCTTTTCTAAAACAATACAAATTGCATGAGAAAACAAGATCTTGAAGCACCCAAACAAAACATTAAAAATAAATCTTATCAATGAAAGAGAGTTAAAATAATAGGGTTTGTTTATCTAAAATAATTAAATTTCGGATCCATAGGGGTTGACGAAATTGGAACATTACTGTATGTTATATGTTATAAGGATTTGTTGACTGGACGAAGATTCGTGGATTTGCCAGTCCCTTATCACGTGATTACAGATGGCCATTTTGTCTTCCAAAGGTCTTTAATGAAGCTGATTCACCCTGCTGTAACAAACCATCAGGCAGAACTTTACAACCGGAAAAGTATCTGCAGACATTGGTAATCCTTGCTCACTGATGGTGGGTTCCATTAACATCACATCAGATATCCCATTTCTGGAATTGGTTGCCAGCACGTACCGTAAAACGGGGCGAAAAGAAACAAAACTTCCCAGCCTTAAAAATATTACTACTATGCTAAGATTATTTTGAAAAAAAAACATCCTGCAACATTTTTCCCAGTTACTTAGCTACTGAAAGAGTTCAGCCACACTATTGTTGGGTTGGCAGCCCTGCTGTCATTTTTCTAGAAATTTCATAAAACGGTGCTTCGAGACAGTTGTATTTGCTAGTGCGCAAAAACTTCACCTGTGAAAGTCACTTTTTGTTTAATTCGAACTTGTTCACGTACTGTAGCAGTTATATTATTCAATTGTGTAAACTTCTACAGTGAAATATTCGAACATCAACAGGTATTTATCATTTACACGCGAACCAACAACATGATCGGATAGGGGCAACTATCACCTTTCCGAAAGTGGTATTGGTTTGCGTGGGCGTTTTTTTGGTTCGCGTGTAAAGGGCCTTAGAAAGTTTGTTTACAAATGCTTTTGTGCCGTTATCAAATGGTATGCCTGATATTATCACTTATATTTAAATTCGGGATCCCGATTCACACTTTGACGGGGCGAATAGAAGCAATGGCGCCGATAATTGAAGTCATTCGTTTTATGCAATCGACACCAACATATTGCTCCCTTATTTCTAGGAAAACAGTGGTTAGAAACTACAAACCAAAAGGTTCAAAAACGTACAAAAAAACAGACTCACAAACTTTGAAGCAGGCCATTGAGGATGTTGCTAACAAAAAAATGTTGCGCCAAGCGGCAGTGCAGTACGGCATTAGCTATTCTGTGATTTATCGTCATTCAAAAAAAGGAAATGCTATCAAACCCCAAGGCGGACAAACATGCCTTACTGAATCTGACGAAGGTTTGTTAGTGTGTATGTGTGTCATCCTCTATCCCTCACCCAGCCGGGGGCGTTGGACAAGTAGAACTGCGAATAATTTGATCAAATCTCATGCTCTGTAATGGTGCCCTTTATGTTGTGAAGACTAGTACTTCAAAAGGGTAACTTTTGCCCCGTAACGTGGGTAGATCACCTTTTCGTGGTACGTTACGGGATGTAAGATCTACCACCGATTCCTAGTCCTAACTTCTTCAAACTAGGGGAACAGGATTTTTCAGTAATCAAAGGAACACATCTTAGTCCTTGTTACTTTTTATGCCTTGTTGATAGTGATAAGTCCTCGGGTTGCCTGGACCGAGGATGATCTTGAAACAATGGAAAAAATTAGTTAGTTAGTCTTCATCTATGTGATTCTTAATCTTCTAATCGTTGTTCCCTAGTTTGAAGTGGTTAAGACTAGGGTTCTGATGCATGGTCATTATCGGTGTCATAGCTTGTTTTTGTTGTTAAGGAATCCAATTTTGACTGACAAAGGGGCGCGCCTTTGGAGGGTGTTCCAACTCCGAAGGGTATAAATAGCGGAACCTTTCAGTTAGAATCGATTCCTTGCGATGAAGGCAAGAATGACAACTGTATCAAAACCGAATACTTCATCATTTCTCAATAGTGATGGAGTAATACGACATGCACTAAACTAAGGACACGGGATATACTACAATAGATCAAATTACTGGTCGCAGTGGTGTTATGTCCCGAACAGAGGAAAAAAAAAAAAAAAAGGGTAACTTTTGAGGCAAGACAGGGTGTCCTCAACAAGTTAAGGGAACAGGATGCACTAGATGTCCACAACAGGTACAGCAAAACATCACATAGACGCCCTTATTCACACTAACTACTCAGGGGATAGAAGGTCAAGAAGAGCCACCGCCGCCAACTAAAGCTTGAACCGGGTACCTGGGACTCCCACGATATACCCGCGGCAATGGTCAGCAGACGATGCCCTGTGCGTATTTAGTATGCACAGCAAAAAAATAATTTTGATATCACGTCAAAGTGGATGCACTACAATCATGTCGAAAATATGGTGTAATATTACTTGCTAAAAAGGACAAAATTATCATTAATACAATGCATGAACTGACATTACGCTGCTTTTACTGCATTTGTTTATTTATGTGGTCATAAAAATTACATGAAATTTTCGACATGATTGTAGTGCATTCACTTTGATGTGATATCAAAATTATTTTTTTGCTGTGTGTAATATGTTTTATTTGGATACACAAAATGTTTGAAGCCATGCGTCATCTAAACCATAATTTGCATCACCACAAATACACTTGTCAACAATCTTCAACTGGAACGTACTCACCAAATCACTTCACCCGGGAGCGCATTCCCGATGTTTCCACGCATATTTTTCTCTCCACTCCAACCACACAACAACCAAATATCACTTTTCTTCACTTTTCTTTTTCAAGACACTCCGTGCACAAAAGCAATGCACATCGCAAAACCCTAACAATAGATCAGCGCCGTGCTCATCACCGCGTAAATAAACAGAAATTAAAATTTTCACTCGCGATGCCACAAATTTTTGGTTCGGGAGAAACAATCAAACCACGCAGCGCCAAATCTTCTGATGCTTGTAATTTTGCAAACATGATGAATCATGTTTTCTTTCTTGATTCTAAAACTTCTCGGAAAGCGAGCAAACCACCACTCACACACGTATAACCGTCTGGGAGGCAGAGTGCCAGCACTAATCCGGCAAATGCAGCCGAAAACAATGAAAGAGAATGCACGCACAAAACAGAGAGCAAATTTAGACACAACCGTATCCAAAGGCGTTCGAAACTCAACTCCTGACGAAGGTTTGTTAGTCCAAAGACTTAAACTTTGCTCTGAATGGGGTTATCCTGTTGATACTTGGATGTTACGCCGCATTGTTAAAGAGTATTTGGATAGAACGGAAAAAGAAATTTTCATCCTTCAAGAGAAATCTGCCAGGACCAGATTTTGTTTATTCTTTTTTGAAAAGGCATAAGAAGGAGTTATCATACAGGATGTGCCAGAATATTAAGAGGAACCGGTCTGCTGTGTCTCACAAAATCATCAACGACTACTTCAACAGGCTATCTAAGGAACTCCTAGATGTACCACCTTCTAATATTGTAAATTAAATTATGATGAAACGAACTTGTGTGATGACCCGGGAAAAAGAAAGGTTATAACTAGACGTGGCTGCAAATATCCGGAACGGGTAATGAACAGTACAAAAGCGTCTGTATCGGTGATGTTTAGTGTTGCAGGAGATGGTACTATATTACCACCGTATGTTGTTTGTAAAGCTGTTTTGTATAACTCATTAGATACAACCGATCGAAATCGGGTTGGTTCGAAAGTTCTTCTTTCGAAGACTGGTTGTCTACAATTGCAATTCCCTATTTGAAAAAAAACAAACTGGAAAAATAGTTTTAATTGGAGATAATCTTGCTTCGCATTTGACGCTACAGGTTATTGAGTTGTGCTCCAATAACGACATCAGTTTGATTTTTCTCCCAGCCAACTCAACTCACTTAACACAACATATCCTTTTGTAAAGGTTACATACAAGAAAAATTGATTCAAAATCCTACTTTTTATTATTAACTTGTCTTTTTCGTTTTCTTTGAAATAATATTGAATTTCTGGATCAATAATAGAAAAGGGCCCATCAGCATTTGTAAACAAACCGTTCGAAAGCCCTTTCCGCATAAAGCGAAGGTCGCCCACGCAAACGAACACCATCATCGTGTAGGGGAAACTTTCCCCTATCCGATGATAGTGTTGGTTTGCGTGGGCGGCCTTCGCTTTCTGAGGAAAGGGCTTTAGAACAGTTAGTTTACAAATGCTGATGGGCCCTTTTCTATTGTTGATCCAGATTTCATCATTAAAAGTAGAATAATAACATTTATAGGGAATTATCCAATAAAATATGGATTAAGCCGTTGTATTTTGACAGAAGCAACAGGAACAATAAAGGAGGACGGTGCCCATACTTTAGAGTAATTGAATTGATTTTAGAACCTAACGTATTTTTATACACTGAACGGTTGTGATATAACGAAACCTCTTTAATTAATATTTGCCACTAAAAATAATCATATTTTATTCTCTAAATTAAACTGGCAGCACTGTACGAAACGAACAACAGAAATAAACTGAACATTGTATACGACGGACGCAATCGAGTGTTTCTCTCGCGAAAACCATCACATTCTGAAATCGTATTTTGAACCAGTGAGCTATCGTGGAACATACACCTTAAAATTTGTTGGAAAGTGTTTCTATTCGCCCCATTTTACGGTACGAAGGTTTCGTGATCGCCAAAATCAACGGAATTCTCGTATGCAGCCGTATTTACGGAGATAAATCGATTTAAAGATTTTCATACTCGCCACCCTGAAAATGATGGTTTGGGACATTTTATTGCGGATTTCGCACCTGATTAGGTAAAAATAAGAACCCAGTAATATTTTCGCACTGGTCATAAAAGTTAAATATGGTGCTTCTTAATGCTTTCTAGAGCTTTAATTCAACAGTGTAGCTTGCTAGTAATGTTCTAAAGCTGTTACTGCTTTCAAATAAGTAGATTTTTTTAATTTTCTAGCATGTGCGAAAATATTACTGTGCAATTATTTTTTGCACAGGAGTCTAATTTGGTGCAAAATGCGCAATATTTTTGGGAGAAAAAATTTCTGACACCTAAAAACCCTCCAAATCTCGATTAGAGCCGTACTCTAACGGAACTATCAACTCTATACTTTCATCTACTCCATCTATCGTATAAAAATTACCACTACAGTCTATTTTTAGAAATTAGCATCTTCAACTACCTAAAAATCATCCAAATCTCAATTAGAGCCGTATTTACGGAGATAAATCGATTTAAAAAATTTCAAACCTTCAGCCTGAAAATAATGGGTTGGGACATTTATTTTAGATAAAAAAAATTTCTTACACCTGAAAACCCTCCAAATCTCGAGTAGAGCCGTATTTACGGAGATAAATCGATTTCATATCCGCCAGCCTGAAAATAATGGGTTAGGACCTTTTCTGAAAATAATGGGTTGGGAAAATTGCTGGCTTCTAAAAACCCTCCAAATCTCGATTAGAGCCGTATTTCCGGACATAAATTGAGACAACGAAACGCTACCCCCAAACTCCTCCCCTTTTCCTATTCTGCGACAATGTACCCCTCTATTGTCTATTGTTACTCTATTATGAATTTTGTTCCAAACAAAGAACAATGAATTATCGGCTCCGTAAAGCTAACGCGATTGAGCCTTACAAATAAACGATAGATAAAAAAAAACTACAATGGACAGTCCTATGGGGTTGTACGCAATGGTGATGTAGGACTACGTGGTCTTATATAAAAAATCTTATTTGTTAATTGCAGCAGGAGCTTGTGTTTGTGTAGTAATAGTAATTTGAGCGGGGTTATCTCTGGTTATACTCTTTAGTATGACGCGCTTGACATAGATGGCTCACAGCGACTCACGAAGAGCTACTGATTCCGATCAATAGCGGTGTGGCTTCTTTCTTCTTCTATGGATGCAGATGTGGGCTGCAGCTAGCTGCTTCCGGGGAGCCTTTCGTTGTGTACTGGAGAACCGTTTGGTGAGACCGGATGGAATTCAACTTTGAAATCTGTGATAGGGAAATCGCTTTTCGCAGGCAATCGGTGATAATTTTAACTATCATAGCAATAGTTGCACATTAGTGCTATTTTCAATAGTGACATTTTGAAAAATGATAGTCTTAAATTATTTACGTAGAAATATTTCTGATCGATTGGTGATAAAATTATTGAAATTGGTCCAGGGGCAGCTGAGTTATGAACGTTCAAAATCTTTCATAAATTTGTTACATGTTCCATTTTCGGTTTTCACAAAAAGTGTACTCCCATATAGAAATCACAGACGAAGTCCTACGTAAAAAAAAGGTTATATCAAAAGCTACGAAAGCAAGTTAAGAGATATTGTTTTAAAATATTTATGCAGTGAGCGAAGGGAGGCTACGTGAGCGGTGGATGGCGACCTTACGGTACTTGTTCATATTTTAATGAACAATATTCTGCCTATAATCCCATATTAGTCCCATATGGAAAAAGTAGGCATTAAGAAAATGACAGTTTGCTAAAGTTAGGAACTGCAATTTCCATTTAATTATAAAAACAAAACATAGTTAATTAATCGATCATTTTGTCAAATTAAAATCAGTTGCAATGATTTGTTATTTTAGCGAAAAATATGGCGATTAAAAAAACAGAACTGTAACTTGAATTTCAGGATGGGACTGACTTGCGATTACTTTGCTTGATGAAACAATCTGACTTGATGTTGTTTTCAAAATTCGTAGTTTTATCACTTAATATGAAAGTAGATGCCAATTGATAGTTAGTATCTTAAAATTGACGAAAATCCATATGGGACTTATATGCAATTATAGGCAGTAGTCATTGTCATAAGCGATCTATTACTAACCATTTGCACAATAAGCAGTTTAAAGGCACCTGCCGGCTGCCGCTGGTCACCACCTTCAGCAAACATTTCAACCCAGAAAGGGAAAGGATAGATGAAGGGGTTCAAGAATCTTCCGCCTTTCATAATGCTAAGAATCGTCAGTCTCTCGTCCCCAATGCACGCGGATAAAAATAAAGAAAGCGAACGAGCAGAATGGCTATATCGGTTCGCTAAATTGTTATGCAAACAAGGAAAATGCCGGTACAAAGCCACACGGCGAACGATAATGGGATCAATTACCGGCCGTTTTACACACAGTTTGCAATGACAGTATCTCATCGTTCAGTATCGTTAGGCTGCAAATTGATGTAAATTTATGACTTTGTCTGTTTGTCTCCCTTCTCTCTCTTCACAAAAAAACAGATGTCCATACACCTGAAACGGCTGCTGCTGGTGCTTCTAACGGTTGCTGCTACCGTCGTTCAAAGCCGGATAGTCGCAGATCATGCTGGATCAAACTCGTTATCCACTGAGAGTACCGCAACAGCACCAGTCGCCGTCGGCGAAGAAAATCCGTCCGATACTCGTGAGCCGATCGCTAGCTCGACGAGTACTACGTCCACCACCATACCCAATACGACTACCACGTCTACGGAACCCACAACGACACCGTCCATAACGTCTTCAACATCAACCACTACGACGACGACGACGACGACAACAACCACGGAAGCCACGACTTCCACAACAACAACATCAACCAGCACCACTTCAACGACGACCGTCCCAACAACTACCACGACCTTGGTTCCGCCCACCAATGAGCTTGGCTGTTACAATGCGGCACCCGACCTGTGCCACAATCTAACCAAGGAGTGCGAATGCAATCAGGATCCCCTGATCCCGGGTGCCCTGTACTGCTGCAACGTGACCGACATCAACAAGGCGATCGCCTGTGTCCCGAACGCTACCACTTGGCGGTACATGCACATGCGAAACGTCACCGTCCGGGAGCTGGTACTGAACGTTTCCATCAAGTACATCAAGCAATTGCTGTCGCTCTCGTTCACGGATGGCTCGATACAGAAGATAAGCAGTTCGTTTGCACGCTTTTCTTCGCCGGTGTGTCTGAACATTTCGAACAACAACATCAGCGAGATCGAACCCCGGGCGTTCCGGGAGCTGCGCAATCTGACTTCATTGGACATATCCCACAACAATCTGTCGGCGATTCCATCCATGGTAACCAATTTAACGCTGGATATCAGGTAAGCCAGGCTGGCTGGGTGGGCAAGTTCCAAACATCAGAAATTCTAACGGTTTCCACCCATTTCAGAGGCAACCGAGGAATGCTGTGCAAATCCCTTCTCGAATCGCTTAAGGAAGGAATCCAATTTACCGACGAACCATCAACCTTCTGCCTCACGAATCGTACCTTCAATTGGTTCGATTCAACGGACTTCATCCCGCTACCCCAGCTCCTGCTGAGTCAACGAATTCAGAACGACTGTCCGTCGAGGTGCAGCTGCGCCCTGGAAAGGCTCAATTTCGATTTGAACAACACCGATAGGAAAACGTTCACCACTCAGGTCGACTGCTCCGGACTAGCACTGGTGGACTTCCCCGAACATCTGCCACCCGATACGGTCACACTGAACGTGTCCAGCAACAATGTAGGAAGAAATTTGCAATTCATGAATAATGAGCTATGATTTCAGTAAACCTGTTTCCCTCCCCAGATTACCAGCCTGAAGGCCCTGATTGGGAAATCATACAGCACCCTGCAGCGCCTGTACGCCGATGACAACCAAATCACCTCGCTGAGCGATCTCGAAGGAACGGACTTCATCTCCCGGTTCACGTTTTTCTCGATCCGCCGGAACAAGCTGAAAACGATCCAAACCTATCAGTTCAAGTCCAACCTGGACCTCGGTTCGTACATGTTCCTCGAAGGGAATCCGATGACGTGTGATTGCAATGCGGCCAAGAATCTGAAAAATTGGCTGCTCAGCAAGAAAGCCCAAGTGCTGGACCACGATCTCATCTACTGCGAAGGAAACACGCATCTGACCAAGATCGTCCAGATCCAGGAGAGCAAACTGTGCCAATCGCAGCACGATTGGACCGACTACATCTACTATCTGATAGCGACGGAGATCATACTGCTAATTGCGCTGATCGGGAAGGTGTCCTACGACTACTGGGTGTTCAAAACGGCCGGCTATCTGCCGTGGCCAGCGAACAAAATGCCCAAACTACCATGTGACTGTCTGTGCGAGTAAGTCTATTTTAGTCTCTCTTTTTTTTCGAGCGGAACAGTGGCAAACCGGGGTCGGTTTCGTTCGAAAATGCTAGGTAATTTATCTCAAGTGCCTTGTACGTCTGTGATTGATCCTTAAAGTCTATGTTAGTAGGTATGTGTCGGAGATCTTTCGAAGAATCTACAGTAAAATAATTCGGCTAAGTATAATTTCCGAACTTTTATATTGAAAGAACCTACCTTACTTATTCTTCTTCTTATTCGCTTGCTTTTTACCCTTCGAGTGGCCGTTGTGCAGAGGTTTCTTCTTGTTATTCTGTTGTCTAACAGGAATTTCTCGTCCTTCCTTTTTCGCCTTGGATCTAGCGATCAGCTTCTTCTTCTTGGCCCGTTCCTGCATCTCGAAAGCCGGCATTGTCCGGATGGCTGCGCGCTTCGGTGCCTTCTGCTGTAACTTCTTCCTCTCCTGCTGGGAACTTTTCCTCAACTTTAGCATATACTCCGGCACGGTTCCTCCCGACTGCTTAATCAGCTGAGCAATGCATCGCAAGTTGACCGTATCGTCCTTGGTGAAGTAGGTTATCGCTTTGCCACGTCTTCCGGCCCGTCCCGTCCGACCGATCCGATGAACATAGCTGATCGTGGAAGGAGGGAAATCGTAATTCACCACCAAATTAACCCCCTTGAAGTCGATTCCTCGACTCATCAGTTCCGTACAGATCAGAATCCAAATATTGCCTTCCCGGAACGATCGCACTACATTGTCACGTTCCTTTTGGCTACGATCCGCATGAATCACATCCACATTCAGTCCATCGTAGATCAGCTCCGTAAACAACTGCTGCGCTCGATCCTTACTCTGCACGAAAATCAACACCGGTGGCGTGAGACCCTTGTGCACCATCTCCCGAAAGGCCAACAACTTGCCGCTTTCATGTCCTACAAACAACAACTCCTGCTCCACTAAATCCACTGCCATATTGGCCACCCCAACCGAAAATCGCACCTTATTCGTCATATTCTCACTGGCCCAGGCCGTAACTTCCTTCGTAATCGTTGCACTGAAAAAAGCCACCACCTTGCACGGATTCGTACAAGCATTCATAATCAAATCCAGCTGCTCCCGGAACCCGTTCTTCGACTCCTCAAACAACTTATCCGCCTCATCCACCACAATGTACTGAATGTTACTCAAATCGATCAACGGTGGATCGTGATTTGCCAGGAAGCAGATCCTGTTCGGAGTCGTCACCAGAATGTCATAGTGCTTTCTACTCTCCAACCCATAGTCCGTAGTGCTTTCATCCACCTTCGTAATTACGTGTGTTCGCAAATTGATATCCTCACAGAGCCGCAACGCTTCCCGTTGGGTCTGCTTTGCAAGTTCCCTCGTAGGACAAACTACCAACGCTCGAAAACCGCACTTCATCGGCTTTTTCAGATGGTGAATGATCGGAATCATAAACGCGGCCGTCTTGCCCGAACCCGTTGGAGCACAGGCATGAAGTGCGTGACCCTCCAGCAGAACCGGAATGGCCTGCATCTGCACTGGAGTGGGGGCTTTGTAGCCACATTCGACAATGTTCTTAATCAACTGATTGGAAACGTTGAACCTCTCAGCTAGCTGACGAAAATCCTCTATCGGATCCGCCACGGACTTCTTGCCCTTCTTTACCTTGATTTGATGCAGGTTTCTCAAGCGATTCACCTTGTACTGATTATATCGTTCGCGCTTCTCCGGAGACATCAACCGAATCCGCTTCCGTTCTGAATCCTCGTCTCGATCCGCTTCATCCTCGGATTTGATTTCGTCCTTGATGTCATCATTACTGAGAACCAACGGGCTGTGCGGGAACTGCGGAACCGGTTCCGCATTGGAACTGTCCGAATCGTCATCTTCCTCTTTAATCTCCAGCTTAACCTCCGCTGGCTGTTCGACTACCTTCGGGGCGGATACGTGCTGGAATCAAAACCTAGATGAACAGTTGGATTCAACGGAATGACACCCCAATCAACTGACCTTTCTCTTCAGCAACGAAGGATTGTTTTTCGAGGAAAACTTTGCACCGCACGTTAGCTTGCGGAAAAGATCGTTCGAATCCATTGCCAGGAGTCGGGTCTTGGGTAGAATTTCCACACAATTTTCAATACAAAATCAGGAATCCATTCACCACATGTGCGAGTGTTTACAACGTGAACGACGACGAGTGAAACGAACAAAAACAAGTTGAACAAGAAACGTCAAAGTTAATCAATCTGGAAGCAGGGGCGTCGGTAAAGGAAGGGGTATTGTTTAATTATAAAAAATACACGGAACAGAAATCTATACTTAGTTGAGAATAAATCGACAGAGAGCATTCATACGGCCACTGTCGGATCATGAAGAAAACCGAGCTTGTAATTTGGATGGGGTTTTCAAAAACAAATTCAGTTTAGTGATGATTTATTTTCATGATTGCTTTTTAAACGATGCGATTCAAGTTAGAAATCACTATAAAGTAAATATTAAATACATTTCCGGGTTTAATCGGAGTCGTAAACGCACAACGGTTGAATTGATTTAATTGAAACACACCACACTAATAAAATTCCACACATTTTTATTGACGAATTTCCATGTGAAATTCCATACTCGCATTAATGGGTATAAAAATACCCATTTTCAGACCATGTATGCAACTGTCAAAAAATGGGTGAAAAAATACCCATTTAAAGAATCAGTTCCCGGTTGAATAATGGGTATATTTTTTACCCACTAATGGGTGAAAAAACACTTTGAAATTTTATCGTCTCATTTCTGTCACGGATTCATTGGGAATGCAAACAGCTACTGTCAGCAGCTTTTTTTTTAGCGAAAATGGACGATCTCCGGAAAGGGTTAGAATCCCGAACATTGGAGAGGCTTACGGATGAGTAAATACAATTTTATCCAATATGGTATCATAATATTTCGTGTAATACAATTTGATCGGAACACCTGCATTTATTTCCAATGTATTAGAAAGTTTTTTTATGTGAACGAGGACAAATAACCAAGCGGTTGCATCATAGAGGTAACTCTAAGACCACTGGGTCCCGAAGAAAATCATTATTATTTTTGGTTCACTCAGTACCAGAACAACGGTCCCAAACAGTCCCAAGCTATTTCACTCACCCCTGCATGTTCTGCATTGATCCACACACCCCTGATGTTATCTGTCAAACTTTCATAGCGAATCAAAACAAACATAGTGTAGTAATAGAATTTCAACTAGAATAGGGTACGTTAATCGTAATACCAATAGGCTACTAAAGTGGTGAGCCAATTTAAAATCGTTAGTTTCGTATTGATTGTTGGTTGCATCCTCCTTTTGAAAAAATGGGTATTTTTTCACCCATTTTGCGGCAAACACAATTTTAAAAAATGGGTGAAAAAACACCCATTTATTGACAGATCACCCATTTACCCATTAAAGAGTAAACCATAGTTTACCCATTAAATGAGGAGGGGCACTTTTAGCGGAAATGGGTGTTTTAATACCCATTAATGGGTTTTTGCGAAACACCGTGAGTAGACTGGGTTTGATGGAGTTTTTGACTAACACTCCGAGGTCCTTGATTGACTTTACCTCCGTTTTATTTGAAGACTTCGTAAAGGTGCAGTTGCCAATGTTTCCACGTAATATCTGATGTAGGCAACGTTGGAAACGTTGAAAAGATTTTCGATATCGCAAATGTATGCATGGATGAATGATCAAAAATGTTTCATCATTGCCGATAATGGCTTTTGTTGCATTTATCGGGATTATTTTTCCTCGAATGGCGATGGTTTCTATATGGAGTTGCACATATTCACCTTGTCTAAGTTTTGGAATTTTTATGAGGAATATTATTTTGGAACCATTGTGGAAAGCTACGGGTTCCAAGAATTCGTAAGTTTGATCGTAGCTTTCAATCGTTATGCCTTGTGATTCCAAAAGTTGTGTAGCAAAATCCAATTCGGAAGGTTGTTGTTGCGTCGGTCGGATTAAAAAGGCCCGCACTGATTTTGATAGCGGTTTTATTATCGTTACAGCTTCAAAGCTACGGAGGGTTACAATTAGTTTAAGTTTATATAATTCTTCAACAGTACTTACTAATCAGTGGCCTTTCGTGATCTAGGGCCTTTTATCCGAATTTAGGTTAAGTTAGGTTAGGTCTCACTGAACTAGGAATCAATATTTTTAAGGCAATTAATTTTAGTCTACATAAGGAAATTTTAGTTATAAACAAGTTACCTTTATCCCTACTTTAGCTCAATATAGTTTAATTATTGTAGTAATAGGAAAACAAATTTTATTTGTAGCAAAATCTTGCGTGTTCACTGCTTGCTTGCACTGCCTTTTATTCTCCTTTTTCCGGAAGTCCGCTCCTTCGATCGTGTTGCCAGACGCTTACTCGCTGACACTGACAGCTTCGACCGTTGCGTTACACCCTTCAGGAACGTCCGTGATCAGGGTGGCCAGCTCGTCGTCTTTGGCGCCAACAGTCTCCCCCGGGTATAGTCCGGAGCTCTCCGGAACTCCACCATTCTCCTTCACGTCGAGCAATGCCAACCGAGATACCGGCCGCACTGGCGTCTTCGTGCCGATCCTGACGACAGCTTGTCGGTTTCGACCACCTGCTCCCGGGATCATCCTAATGATTCGCCCACGCTCCCATCCATTCCGCTTCGTCGGTTCTGCCACCATCACCAAATCGCCTGGCTCCAACGGTCGCACTTCGTCGAACCACTTCGGTTGCCGACGGATTACCGGCAAATACTCCACTAACCATCGCTTCCAGAATGTATCCAGCTGCTGCTGAATCAACTTCCAGGAAACACCCAGGAGTTGACCGCGGGCCAAATGGCTAAATGTTTGCGAAACAGTTTCTTCCAAATTGTCTTGCTGCTTCTCCCCGTTTGAGCTTAGCAGCAGGAAATGGTTCGGTGTTAGGGCCTCTGCTTCCTCGGACTCAAGTGGCAAGTACGTCAGAGGCCTTGAATTCACAATCATTTCAACCTCCACGACCAATGTCTGGAGCCCCTCGTCGTCAAGCTTCCCCTCGGAGTACGCTTCTCCCATGGCAGATTTTACGGATCGTACTAGGCGTTCCCACGCTCCGCCCATATGTGGTGCTCCTGGCGGGATGAAGGTCCACTTGGTGTTGGCACTGGTAAACTTTTCGGACAGTCCCTGGCTTATCTGATGTTGTAGTACACGTTCGGCTCCCTGAAAGTTTGTGCCGTTATCACTAAAAAACTCGGCTGGTGGTCCGCGATGGCCTACAAATCGACGGACGCATGAGATGAACGACTCCGTCGATAGTGCATACGCAATCTCTAGATGTACGGCCCGTACGGTCAGGCATGTGAACAGTGCAACCCAGCGTTTGACAGTAGATCTTCCCAGCTTCACAAGCAGCGGTCCGAAATAATCCACTCCGGTGTAAGTGAAGGCTCGTTCATGATGGGCTAGGCGAGCTTGAGGGAGCGGTGCCATCGAAGGAACTGCTGGTCGAGCCCGATGAATTTTGCAGGGTATGCAATCGCGACTCACCTTCTTAACGACCACCCGCAGCCTTGGAACCGCGTACCGCTGGCGCACTTCATTCACTACCGTTTCAGAGTTTCCATGACGGTAGTAGCGATGGTATCGATGCACCAGAAGCTCTGTGACTCGATGTTTATTCGGAAGGATCACTGGATGACGCGCGTTGTAAGAAACGTCCTTGGCGGCTCCAATACGACCCTGTTCTCGAAGCAAGCCTTGCTTATCCATAATCGGCATTAGCGAATAGATAGCGCTGGATTTCCCGATGACCTTCTGACCGCTTTCATTGGGCAGTTTGCTTGACAGTGCTGCAACTTCATCCGGATAGGTTTCTCGCTGCACCAGTTTGAGTATGATCTCTTCGGCTACCTGTAATTCTGACTGTTGCAGATGTCCTGTGAACCTCGGCAGTTTGCCGGTCGCATTGTGCAGAAACCGTAGAACATAAGCTGTCACACGTTGCAATCTGTCCCAGGAGGAGAAACGGTTAAAGTCTATGATTGGTTCGAAGGAGCAATGGTGCAGGACTGATGCACGCATTTCTTCCGTGGTTGTCGATGTCGCTTCCTTGGAGCGGGGCCATTCTTCTTCGGGAACTTTTAGAAAGGTTGGTCCGTGGAACCATTTGCTCTCGTGGTCGAAGTAAGGTCCGCTTCCCCATTTCGTCGCTTCGTCCGCGGGATTACACTTTGAAGGTACCCACCGCCACTCACTCGCTGTGGTGTGCTCCAGTATCTCGCCCACTCTGCAGGAAACGAACTGTATATAGTTACGCGGATCGGATTTAATCCAGGCTAGCGCAGTTCTGGAATCCGTCCAATAGATTACCTTCGACACAGACACATCATGATTTTCTCGAACAAACTTTGACCATCGCACTCCCAAAACGCATGCCTGCAATTCCAATCTAGGGATAGACCATGGCTTCAATGGAGCGACCTTGGATTTGGCGGCAATCAGACAGCATTGCGGATCACTTGTTTCGCTAAAAATGCGCAGGTAAATTGCGCAAGAATAAGCTACCTCACTAGCGTCCATGAAAACGTGCATTTCTGCGCCTTGATAGGTCCTTCGAGTGGCATGAGGGAAGTAGCATCTGGGAATTCGGACTTCGGCAATGTACTCGATCATTTGTACCCACCTCTGCCACTTTGCGTAGGCTTCGTCGCTGATTCGTTCGTCCCATCCAGTTCCTTCTCGCCACAGATCCTGTATCAACACCTTTCCGTGGATGACGAACGGCGAGAGCAATCCAAGAGGATCAAATAGTGTCATAACGCAGCGTAAGACCTGTCTCTTTGTCGGCCGCGTTGCTGTGCTCATCAGCGTTTGCACCTCGTCACTCATCTGGGTGGAGAAACTGAGCTCATCCGTTGACGGACTCCATAGCATACCGAGCACTCTTTCAGTTTTCGATCCATCGATCAGGTTGATCTGCTTAGCTGGTTCGTGCTGCACTTCACCTAGCTGATCCAGTACGACGCTACTGTTCGACCGCCAGTTGTGTAACTGGAATCCTCCATTGCCGTGAACGTAACGCACGTCACTCGCCACCTTCGCTGCTTCCTCTTCGGTGCTGAAACTCGCTAGGTAATCGCTAGGTGATCATAGATAATCGCTTTTGCTGCTTCAGGATATAGCTCAGCGTACAATTCGGCATTC